AGTTGTTGTTCCTGACGAAGCCGCGGTTTCCTATAAAGCAAAGTTTACCGACCATCCGCCAGTCGAGCCCAGAATTGAAGCTCATGGGACATGTTCTGGTTGACGTGTTGCATGAGAAAAGTGGCCCACACTCGTTTTGCCTGGGCCGGCAACAAGCGACCTCGGTTTTGAGCCCAAGGAATATGTTGTGGATTCTGTTCCAACCCGCGCTGCCGATTCCGCCCCCAAATCCAGGATTGGATTCTTCAGATTTGCTAAGGTATCCCCAGCCCCGGAATTCTCCCTGCAACCCGCCCCCCCCCCCCCCCCCCAGGATCGGATTGAACCCCATAGCTGGAAAATCCAAGTGTTCCGGGTCCTCCAATTCGAGCGGCTGGAAGTGATCCAGGTGTTGTAAGTCACAGTGCTTGGCTGTAAACCTCAGCGCTACCGAACGCTGGGAGTGCTCGTGCAGACCATCCCGTGGACCATGATACACACAACCAGTTTCTGTACTCGACCAATTGGGGCAATGGGTCTGCAAGAGAGGAGCCATACCAGTTGCGCGGCTCATCAGTTTAGCGCCTGTGAGGGGGCCAAAAAACATTGTTCTAAAAATCTGGCATGGTCCTCTGGTGATGTTGTCGCTGCATCTTAGATCTGAACAAAACGCTGGGAGCTTGCAGACATGCCTTGCCCGCAACTTCCTTACAACGTTCCATCTGTGTTCAAATGTTTACATTTGGCAGAGTTCCTCGCTGGGTGCTGGTATTTGGCACCATCCCAACACATGTTGTACATTAAACTCATTCATCAGCACCAAATAGCACCGGCTGTGAGACGGTTTGCAGGTTAGTAGCCGCCACCATCGCTGCTCTGACAATCACTCATACCACCCCCTTGATGAATCTGGACTTGCATGTGCAAAATGAGGCTGCCGGGGGGGGGGGGTGGGGGACCTCCCGCCTGATTAATCCGATCCCTTTGGTCCGCCCTTGTCAATAGGACTACAAAGGAAAGTCTAAAGTAAAGTAGTTTGCTTTTAGTTTGCCTTCTGCTTTTTTTGTTGTTCAGTGGTTTTTTGCTCCTTTTGTCTTTTGTCACACACTCAAAATCGACTGAACTGATCAACTCCAGGCTTCCCTTTCTAGATGCTCATTTGGCATGTTTTGCCTGGGGGGGGGGGGCCAGAGTGCAGCACCCTCGCGCATCGCAAAAGGCCTGAGGCTGAGTCGTGAGCCCCATAAACTGCAAGGCTCGCATGGCTTCCTTGAGTTGTTGATGGATCGGCCGGAGAAAAATATCACAAGGACACCAACCACCGGATATCTTTTCCAAGAACCCATATTCATATTCTCACCTTCAGCCATTGCAAGCCGGGCCGCCCAAGCTCCGCAAGCCAGTATGTAGGCACGCCACCTGACGCGAGACCCAACAAGTGGGGCAGTTGTGGGCTTTATTCGCATTGCCACCCTGTATGACCGTTGGGCATGGCCTGTCGGTGAATAATCTTGACAGGGCCTACGTTGCAGCTGACAGAACTCAGCGGGGACACAAATGGCGGCGTCAATCACTCCCTGGCTCGCGTGCCATTTTCAGCTGGAAGGCTCCTCAAACCAAAATCAGACTGGTCACGGAGGCAGTCACTTGCGCATATTGCAGCCCCAGTACTACAACATAAGGGACGTATAAAAGGCTCACTTGGGCACGTGCCTGGCAAGTTACCTGCACAAAAGGGGCACTTGCGCAAATGCACGACTGGATCAGTTGCTGACAACGTGAACGCGCTTGCTTGTTGGATGAATGTTTGAACACGTGGTGTGGCGGGCACAAGCCTACGGTGTCTATTGTCATACAAAGAGTCCAGCTGAATCCACAGGGTGCAGGGATAGTCGAGTTCATTCTAATACGCCCACTTTGAGTCATTTGATCACATCCACTTCAAGAGGATGTGCAGCATGCGCAAAAGGACGCGTTCGCGAATGAGGACCCTGTAATTAAATTTCGCTTGGTCTATGTGCGTTGACTCATTTACTGCCATCCAGGGAATCAAAGAATGCAAGCATGTCCGTCCCCACTTTTGACAAGAGTCTTAATCTATCCATATTATCTCTGCTATCCATACTATCCACCTGAACATTACGCACCGGATTCCGCGGTAGAACAACCCACTCATATTTTGAACTCACCTGAGTTGTGTCATTTTGCGGAGCCCGGTTTAGTCTGCGAGTCTTGCGCCCCGTTTCGACCCGAAGCGCGCTGCTGGTCCCGCGGGTTCCCCCGCCTGCGCCCAGACGCCGCGGCCGCTCGCGCGCTCCGCGGCGCTCATGGCGGCGCCAAAGGCCACCACGGAGCGGTGAGGCGCCGACCACAGCGCGGCCTGCGCGAGACCGCGAGACGTCGCTCGGGCCGAGACTCAGCGCGAAGCTCTTCGCTCAAAGCTAAATGCTTGCACTCTGGGAACACAAATTTGGCTGGCCCATGCGCTTAAACCCAAAACGAGAGATATCGGGGCTTCACCCTCCAAACGGGCCGGATGGCCTGTGCTGCCTGCCATCCCTTCTCGCCGGCAGACTTGACTGCCGCACCACAGGTGACCTGCGTTCGGCGTTCGCGTTTCGGGCAAATACAAAAGGCACTGAACCAACCTGGGTGCGTTTGCTTTTTTCCCCTGAGGGTGCCGTTTTTGGATGGCTTCGAAGGAAGACTACAAGTAAGCCACCTGTTTGGGGTTCGCGTAGAAAAAGACACCCACCTGGAACCATTAATTGCGGATGACAAAGTATCTTATATGGGAAATAGGCCTCAGACAAATCGTCAAGGCTCCACCCAGTGACGCGGAGTTTACGCGAGCCCGGGACATATGCTGAACTCTCCGCCAAGAAATTAGAAGCTAAATCCAGTAGACAGACATTTGCCGGCCTACTCATGAAGACAAAAGGGCTGGCTACGCAACTGATTGACACCGACAAGCAAAGCAAGCTTAAACCCCTTCAACCCTCTTTCCAATGAGATGGTAGTCCTCCCAAACCCTTGCAGGTTTATTGTTGAACAGTACTACAATTGGCTTAAAGTATTAGAATTGGGCGGTCTTGATTATGGAGGCAACTACTACGTACCCTTCCTCCCACACCCAGAATCGCTTGTGGGGGTGTATCCGGAAGATAAGTTTCCTCTTGACTGCTACTGGGAGGGTTACTCATTGTCTGCCCCTACCCACAAACATATTTTTTCTTTGTCCCTAAACCAACAAACACACGTTTTTTGTTTTTTTTTGTTTCATGTCTGTTTTTTGTCCCTACCAACAACCACACGTCTTTTTGTGCTTATTTACTCGAGGTACCTATGTTCCCTCAGTTTGCAGAAACACCAAAACGAACACGTACACAGTACACCTCCGGCCTCGTCTGGGCTGAGGCCCTGCCTCTGGAGCTCCCTAAGGCCCTGGGGCCATGCAGCACGAGCCTAAGCGAAACATGAAACGTCCCGTAGAAATTTAGATGGAAGCCAAAAGGGTCTGACGGTCGCCCAAACAGAGGGCTGGAGCCACCCGCTCTGGAAAAAGAAGCAAACAACAAAGCAAGACGCAGGCTTGAGAGCTTGTCCAGCAGAGAGTGAGTCAAAAGCGCGCCGGACTTTCAAGCCACAGAAACGCGGACACGCTCGCTCGACCCGACTCTTCGGAGAGCGAACCGGCGTCGGCAAGGTATTGACATCGACCCCGAGGCCAGCTTGATGTCCAAAGGCGTCACCTCTGGTTGGAGGCGCCGTTGAGGGGCTGAAGGATTCAGGCCAACTTCGGGAATTGAAAGCCAAGGCCATGGAGCCCGAGAATCGAACGCCGCGGTCCAAACAACGCCGTGGTATGGCCACGTTGACCTTAGATCCCCCGCTCACAGTTTAACTTTTAGTGGGTGAAGTGGAAACCCCCACTAAACTCTAAAACGCTAAAACGCTCAAGAACTGGATGGCTGGGGGGGGCCACCAAGCAATGCAGGCCCGGTTTTGCACGCGGAAGCCGCTTGCCTCGCTCGTTGCCAAGACGCCGCGCTGCTGAGCACCATGTTGAAGAGGACGATGTCCGGTTGCAGCACCTCCAGGCTCTGAGCAAACAGAACATTGGCCCTTTGTGCCCCTTTGCTTCAGTTCTTTGCGGTCTTTTCTGGTCGGTTTGTGCGAGCGACCTAGATGCAAACTAAAGAAACAAAGGGAGCCCACAGAACCTCTGGAGTAGTGAGGTTTGAAGAGCAGCCCGGTAGTTGCTGGGGAGCTCGTGCTGATGTCTTACCTCTGCGTGTTGAACCTGGGCTGGCACACTTGCACTGGGTGGCAACAGGAATTTTGAGGGTGTTCATCCTTTTCGGCATGTCCACTTCAATGGTTCCATTCTCCTCTTGCCAGTCCCGGCGTAAGAACTTCGGAAGACAGTCACTTGAAACGCTGTCCGCTTCCATCTCGCGCTCTGCCCTCGTGTTTCTTGGTTTCATTTTGGGTTCTATCGGATCGGGATTCCTCACACGTCAAAGCTTGGGCTTTCGTGACTTCCAACGATTGGGGTCAAACCGCAAAAAAGGTGGGCAACAAAGGGTGCTAGCGAGTCTGGACAAAACAAACACAATGATCTTTGGGCTTCCTTTTGGGAGAATTCAGCCCGAGGCAAAACACACACACACACATTGCTTCTGCCTTCTTTTTTTTGCGGGACATTTAGGTTGTCCGCCCCCCGCCCCCCCCGCCCACACCCCCCCAACCGTAGCCTACAGTAATTTTGCCAGATTCGAGTATCAGTGTGTCCCTTCTTGCCTGTACCCTTTATGCCTGGTTTTAAGGGGAAACCAAAAGGACACCAATCATTCCCGGAGGACCCCTACACACTTCCACACCAGTGCTAGGTCCTCCAGTAGAGAAGCTTAGAATAAGGGTACCAACTTTTTTCTGCAGTCTATTTTAGTAGAGGAACCCGCCCGACCAAAAAAGAAACGGTAAATGGGCACCTAGCTGGGGGACCTATGCGTCGCACCCAAGATGGAACCTGCTGCATCTCCGCCAGAGCGTGCATGGCTTCTCGCCATCGCTTCGCCAGTGCAATGCGCTGCGACCAGCGAGCATCCTGAAAGGTCAAGGATGGTGGCGAGGGCCCTGGCATCACTAAAATGGTCCACAATTCGGCAAGTCATGATCTTGAGCAAGAACCAACAGAAGTGGATGTAAGAGGAAACGTCAAAATCAATCTTAAGGTTTGGGATATAACCTGACGTTTGAGACCCGATTTGACCTGGACTAATAGTCCTCGTTGGGCTGAGGGAAGCCGGCTTTGGGCTCCATACCAGGTGGACAAAGCACATCTGCGTGCAACTCGTGTTCAGATTCAGTGGAATATAAGGGCCCTCCGGGTGAGGTTTCTTCGTTTCTAAGTTTGTTGCTAAGGTTGCTTCACCCCTTAGGTCACATAAATTCATTCAACGGTGGTTCAACCACGCAAAGGATGCGAGTGATGGTTGATCACATTGTCACCACTTTGGCACTCCAACCATCTGAATAGTCACCGGGTCCCAATCGCTTGACCTTTTGTTTCACACAATAGCCTTCCTTTCGCAGAGGCGTCCACCCACTTGCAGGCTTTTACACGGCGACTCATGGTAATTTGTGCATTGAACCCGTCTGCATCGTGGAACAGGATGTGTTGTCTTCACAGGCTGTGCTTACTGCTGTAACCTACCTCAGGCCTGAGCAGTGAATCCCAGTGCTGCCGTCGCGTCGACTTCGCGACACGGTATCATTGAGGTAAATCGATTTTTGTCGCAGCCCCTTTCGAAGCGGAAAAGAGGAACATGCTGAAAAGCAGCGTTCATCACGAATACGACTTTCAAATGCAGGGGTCTTAGAACGCTCACGTGTTCCACGACATGCTTTAGCCACTTCTCTTTGTTCAGCATTTCTTGATTTGAAATTGTCCCATAAACAGACACATTCCCTGTGGGCTCGAGGGTTGCGAGAGTTCAGTCTCCTGCGACTCGCAAAATATCGCGGGTCCCAACAGCGAAATGGTCCGGGAACCCGGAACGTCAGCTTCCAAAGGCTGGCAGGTTGCCTAGGGCCAAAGCCACAAGCTCCGGAGCCGTGAGCCTGGGACTTCTCCTTCTCCATGCCATGGCAATCGAACCGGAAACCGTTTTGCTTATCAGAGATTCGAAGGAAGCGAACACAGCTATGTTGCTGCTGTAAATTGCTGGGACAGGCCAACCCGATATGCTCTTGTACATACTTGTGAGTGGAACTCCTCTTTGACTATTGTGTTGGACTTCAGGGCCATTTCAAGTTGCGAGTGAGGTTGCCATTCTGCTCAGATTGCGTCACCAGCAATCTGCAGCTCCGGGCAATGTTCTTCCCTCAAATGCATGTGACTCCGCCGTGTACCTGTGCAAAGCTTCATGCGGCCGTCAAGCAAGACTGAAAGAGGCGAAGGTTTTTTTTCTTCCACATTTTCGGAATGTTTGCAGTCCACTCAATTTTAAGGGAGTTGCCGAAGGTCTGGGATGCAACCACTTCTGCGCACCATGCGTGATCCAAACGCCGAGATGATTGGTGTATCCATGCCTCGGCTAGGGCTGAAACGGCACAACGCAAGTCATGGAGTGGTGAACGCGTTGCAACTCACCAACACAAAAACTACCGGCAGAGAAACAACTGGGTAGCTTGTGGTTTCGAAGGCTGGATCGGGATCTCGAAGGCCCGGGCTTGAATAAGCGCAAGCTACGCACCGTGTCCTTTTTGAGGTTGAAACAAGGAAGCCACGGCGAAATCCTCCCCCACACATCAGCTGCACCGCAAGTCTCGCCATGCGATTCAAAAACTGAAGAAAACACGTTGGACAATTTTTGAATGCCATGCGAATGACACAATGTTTCAAGGAGCAGGATGTGCAATGCTTCCTGGGTGCACTCTTTGGTGCGCCCTATCAGCCCAAGAGCTGCTCATGCTAACTCAACTCGCCTGCTCATGACTCATCCACCTCCACCGAGTGGTACTCAGTGTTGGTGTTGAAACCAATGATCCAGCCCCAATTGTCCTTAGTGACCCAGCAGCAGCTGCTCCTTCATTAGCAATGGAACTCAAATTCACAACTTCAAACTCATGCCAGCACTTCTGCAGTCAACCTTCTAAGTGCAACTGTGCCTCGATTTCTGTTCTCATTTTACACATGTCGTCGCTGAGGCTTCGCAACATTCGCGTGTGGGACATAAAAAGCTGCTTACCTCTTTACCTGTTACCCCTCCCCTTACCCCTCCCCAGGCGGGGTGGCCACGTGCCACGCGGTGATTCCAGTTGCGTAAACATATTGGGGTGTTCGATTCCCCCCGGGTCCGTTTTTGCATCCTTAGCTTCTTGGGCAACCATCGCCAGCATCACCTACATCATCCACATCAGCGCCTGCCAAGGATGCGGATGATGAAAGTAATGCTGGGGATGTTGCCCGTGCTGGTGAAGGAAAATGGAAATTGAAGGAAAGTGAAAGGGGGGAAACAGATTAGGGGGGGGACTGGGGCGAATATCGGAGGGGAGGGAGAGGAAAGGGAAAGATCTTAGGGGAGGGGGGAGAGTGTTGGAAAGATGTTAGGGGACAAAAAGGGGGGAAAGGATCTCAACCGGGAAAGGGGGAAAAGATCTTAGCGAGGAAAAGGGAGAAGATCTCAGGGGGGGGAAGGCCTTAGGGGGAAAGGGGGGAAAGGATCTCAACAGGGAATGGTGGCAAAAGATCTTAGGGAGGAAAAGGGAGAAGATCTCGGGGGGAGAAGATCTCGGGGGGAAAGGCCTTAGGGGGGAAAGGGGGGAAAGGATCTCAACATAAAAAGGGGGGGGGGGAAAGATCTTAGGGAGGAAAAGGGAGAATGTCTGGCGGGGAAAAGGCCTCAGGAAAAGAAAGGGGGGAAAGGAGGGGAAAAGATCTTAGCGAGGAAAAGGGAGAAGATCTCAGGGGGGGGAAGGCCTTAGGGGGAAAGGGGGGAAAGGATCTCAACAGGGAATGGTGGCAAAAGATCTTAGGGAGAGGATCTCGATCTCACATAAAAGGGGGAGATCTTAGGGAGGAAAAGGGAGAATGTCTGGCGGGGAAAAGGCCTCAGGAAAAGAAAGGGGGGGAAAGGAGGGGACAGATTTTAGGGGGGAAAAGGGAGAAGATCTCAGGGAGGAAAGGCCTTAGGGGGGAAAGGGGGGAAAGGATCTCAACAGGCACAGGGGGGCCTTAGGGGGGAAAGGATCTCAAGAGGGAAAATGGGGAAACGATCTTAGGGAGGAAAACGGAGAAGATCTAGAAAGGCCTTAGGGGGAAGGGGGGAAAGGATCCCAACATTGAGAGGGGGCAAAGGATCTTAGGGAGGAAAAGGGAGAAGATCTCAGCGGGGGGAAAGGTTTTAGGGGGGAAAGGGGGGAAAAGATCTTAGGGAGGAAAAGGGAGAAGATCTCACGGGGGGGAAAGGCCTTAGGGGGGAAAGAGGGGAAAGGATCTCAAACGGGAAAGGGGGGAAACGATCTTAGGGAGGAACAGGGAGAAGATCTAGAAAGGCCTTAGGGGGAAGGGGGGAAAGGATCCCAACAGAGAAAGGGGGCAAAGGATCTTAGGGAGGAAAACGGGAAAGGTGTTAGGGGGGAAAGGGGGGAAAAGGATCTCAAACGGGAAAGGGGGGAACAGATCTTAGGGAGGCAAAGAGAGAAGATCTGAAAAGGCCTTGAAAGGATCTCAGTAGGGAAAGGGGGGGAAAGATCTTAGGGAGGAAAGGGGAGAAGATCTCAGGGTGGGAAAAGGCCTTAGGGGGGACAGGGGGGAAAGGATCTCAACAGGGAAAGGGGGGAAAATCTTAGGGGGGGGGGGGGATATCCCTGAACAGGGAAAGGTGGGAAACATGTTCAGGGGGGAAAAGGCCTTAGGGGGGAAAGGGAGAAAGGGTGTCAACAGGGAAAGGGGGGCAAAGATCTTAGAGGGGAAGGGGGGCAAGGGGACAATTCCAAAGGGATGCAAATAGGAAAGCAGGCCTGTAATGTCGGCGGCCTGAGCCGGAAGCGTTAAAATATTAATGAATCTGAATATATTTCTATATGTATGTGTGTATGTGCGTGAACCCCCTGACGATCGGAAAGGGCCAGCTTTGAGCTGTCTTCTCACGTACGGACAGCGTGGGGGTGCAAACGTACCCGCCTTTTTGGCAATATTGTTATGGTACAATTTGTTATGGTGATTGCTTCCAGTGTTCCTTGGGCAAGTCTGCTTGCTTTCTGAACGTAACGGTCCCGCAACTAGAGAAGCCGGCTTGCAATCAGTGCTGTGACTTCCACGCCAAGCTCCACTAGGGACAGCGGCAAAGCTCGCCTTAAGTGGCCTCACGGATGTAGCCAAACGCGTTCTATCACCAGCGTGCTAGTAGATGCCGGCGGAGTTATCACACCTCTTAGTGTGAGTGGGGTCGTGCACCTTTTGCTGGCTCTGGGCTGCGCATATGGCGTTCTATGCATTCAGCCTATACATTCGTACTGAGGTGAACCAACGAACTTCCAATATCGTTTGTTTTTAAACAAGGCCGCGGTTTCCTTTGGTTCCTTTTGGCTTTCCCTTTCTTTGTTCGGTTAAAAAAACAGAAACCCCTTACCCAGCGCCAAAGCGATCTCCAGATGACAGCTTCCGATAGCAGCGGCGTCCTCACTTGAACTGGTTTTGTTGCCCTATTCTCTCATCTACGTACACGGCCCGACCAACGACCTCCTGTTTCATTCACCCCGCGGCGCTACCCCCAAAACCCCTGGCTGTATTCCACCATAGCATCACGATACAAGTTACAGCAACGCCACACTCCATCCTCAGACAGCACGACCCCCATCAAGAAGGCGTTCGTCTTAGAGCGCCTTTCCAAACTGAAACAATCACGGTGGCACGAGGAGGTGTTGTTTGCTGGGAGGGACTGCTGGTGTGCCGAAGACGCAACAACGCCGCCTGAGTGCGCCGCAGCAAGCGATTCCAGTCCATCTTCGAACTGGTCGAGCCCGTGCTCCTCACAAAGCCTGTCTTCAAAAGCTTGGTTAAAAAGCCGTTTCTGAGCTAAACCTTTCATTTCTCGTCCACCCTAAGCACTTTTTTGGTTTAAGTCCTTTTGGAGCTGCTTCCACGTTTGATGTTCCTGGGTGTGTCAATTTCCGCAACCTCTTTTTAGGTCTCCCCTAGTCTGAGTGTGTCTCCATCAAAACAACAAAGTTTGAGATGCGTGCTGTCCAGGAAACGCCGCAAACAAAACAGCCCCCAAACCAGAGCATTCCGTCCTTCTTTGTCCTCCTCCAGCGCAGAACGTGCGCAAATTGAATGAGCTGCGGTCACTGCTGCGGGCAGCCTCTGCGAAAGTGGAGCGTTCCCGGCGTCAACCGCAGCACTTGTGCCTCTGCCGAACGGACACGCCGGTGCAGGCAGGGCACTGCGCCATGTGCTTCCATTGCACCGTGCGCTTCAAGCAGTTGCAGCGCAAGTGTTGGGAGGTGGCTGTGCCATGCCACCCGCTGCTTCAAGCACGTGTGCGCCTGCCACACCCCTCGACACACTTCGTCACACCCTTCCTTGACTGAGTGACGCTTTCCGCCTCGCCTGCAGATTCATATTGATCCACTCAGCAATTGGCTGCGGTCACTGCCCGTAAAAGTCCAACCCGAAATTTCTTGCGGCTTGATGGGCTCCAGCGCCGGGGATTCTTCAAAAGCAATCTCCACATCATTGCTGCCCTCTCTTGCAGTGCTGGCCGGGCGCGAGTGTGGGGAACATTGCCACTGGCTTCCAAGTTACCGACAAGGTGCTCGGTGTCCAACTCTTCTTCCCTGTCCTGCAACAACAACAATCTCGGGCAAGCTGGCAATCCTAAACGGCGAGCAAAGGATCACTCGAAACTGTCCCGAAATGTGGCAAACAGCAAAGTTGCTTTCAAGCACAACGCGTCACACGCAGCTCCAACGGCCGCTGTGCGTTCGCTTTCTGCTGAACTCAATGCAGCATTCTTATGGGAATGAACATTGCGCTCGCAGTGGATTTCCTCCCAAACCGATCTCCGGGCCAATCTGCATCACTGTCTGTAACTCACGCCCGCTGATTTCTGGTCCTCACGCCAAGCTGTTCAAGGCGGAGCAAAAGATCGTCTCAGCAAAATGCAAGCAGACTGGCGCCTATCAAGGTAACCTACCTTTCAGCCTTGAAATCTTTTTGTGTACGCCGTAGCATCCGCAAAGAGAAAGTTCTCAGTGTAAGTGAAGCCTCTCTCCGGATCTATTGGCGCAGCAAAACTCGGAAAAGCAGCGGTCCTGCTAAAGGGATAGCAAGCGTCCGTGCCCGCCACGGGTGCCGGGATTCCAACTTGCATGGGCAAGAAACCCCTATCTGCGAGCGTCTGATTCGAGATCTCGTTGGGGTCAATTACACTTCGAAAGGAGATGAGTTGAGGCGCAGCCAACGTTCCTCGTTGAATGTGTCCGCCAATAAATGGTGCCAATGAAGCTGAAGCCGTGTAGCCGGGCGTTCCATATCAATAAGACCATCCTTGACGAAAGTTGCTTGAGCTCGATTGGCTAAAGCACTCACTCATCAATGCATCTGGCGGTCGCCCCTTAGCTGGAAGAGGTAGACCGTACGCAGGGCTGAAGTAATCCAAGCACGCAGTGTTGTCGTGATCCTGTCCGTTTAACTCAGCACCGGCGATATGTCTGTATTCCAGTTGAAGGCTAGCCGTATTCCATGAGAAAAAGTGGCTCCGCCAGCGGCGGCAGATACAGACCTCATTAGGAGGGCAGCTACCGACGCTGTTTGGCATTAAGAACTGATAAATTAAAGGATCATCAGGGATGTTCAGGTAGATCGTCTTCAGCATCAAGATGATCCGGGCGATGATGGGATCCACCAAGATGTCGTTGAACTGGTTCAACTACGCCTGAACGCTTCCATCAAGAAGTCTGCAATCGGCGTTTCGCTCCTTGTTCAGATCATGCAACATCGCAGCGGACAAAGCGTGTCGAGCTCTGATCGCTATCGCCACGATGTACCTTTTATTTGTGTCTTGGTTTATTTTGTTAATGACTTGTTTGCTCCGTTCACTGGAGTAACAGGCAATGATTGTTCACTGGAGTAACAGGCAAGGACGAGGAGGGCAAAGTGCCATCGTAGCATCCTTCTGAGCTTTGTGCAGGACATAAGGCACTCCCGCGCTGGGTTGACAGCAAAATTGGTGCGTGGCACCTTCTTCATTGGAGGAAACGGCACTGCTGGTGGTCCTGGTCTGGCTGAGGGACCTGCGCTTCCTGGGCCAACGGCTGGCAATGTTGGTGGGGCCACTCCGATGACTAGTGACCGGTCCAGGCTTGGATCAGCTGGATCGTCACTTTTAGAAGCGGACTTTCCTTTTTTTTTGGCAGGCTGGCGTTGCCGGTTCCTTCCGCAGGAGGACTGAAGTTCACAAGAGCGATGCTCCTTGCTGCTTGCAACAAGTCCTATGCCTTCCACACAACCTCCAAACGAAAGCCATACCACATACCTGCAAAAATGAACAAGCAATCGCCATGCGTGTTTACCAGGCATTGCGGATGCCAATGAAGCCTGCTCTGCAGGTAGTGGTTTTGCTGTAAGGTCATCAGACAGGCCGGAATTTGCAAAAGGGGTTGGCCTGCCGTTCGTCCGCAACAACCTCAAGCAGTCTGTCAAGATGACGTTGATGCGGCTGCGAAATCAATCGCCGACTGCTGCGCAACAAACGCTGTCGATTGAAAAACCAAATCTTACCTCCAGGGTTCCGCATTATGGAATACGTAGTCAATCTCACACGTTCTCCAGCTGCACGCCACCTGCCAATGAGAAACGATCGTGACCGTTTATAGCCGTGCTGCCCCGAGCTTAGATACTGCTGCTCGCCCTGTCTTATTTGTGGAAGATCGCCCAGTACCAAGACCTACAGATCAGACGGGTATCCACCGGCAGTGGCCTGCCAGGTGCTCTTGAAAAGTTATTGCGCGGAGATGGACTAAGACTGGTTTGTAGGCCTATTGGAATCTTGTACAGCCTTGGTTTTTGAAATGACTCCGGTTTTGGAACTAGCCCAGATAACTGTCTTGCGCCAAACACTGTGGCTTCTAACCTTGAGACGCGCTCACTTGCTTGGAAATGACCGGCTCTGGCCCTAGTCTCATCCGTTTGTTTTGGGAGGGGTGCGGCAAGGCGCATGTCCCGGATTTAGGTTGCTGTCTGTGGTGTTGTTGCTCCTGCCTTGCCTTGCCAGGTGGGTCTGGGGCCGTTGCGTGCGTTGGTCGTTGGCAAGGTGGCCCACATCCTGAGCCGGTGCTTTGCTTTGCCTTGACGCGCCTTGTTGTTGCTGCTCTGCTCTGTCTGGTTCCTACCGCGAAAAACTATGCGCACAGTGAGCGCTGCAGCTTTATAGTTCTGGGATGTTCTGTGCTGGAAGCCTGGCAGCTTCGTGCCCTCGAGAGATCCGATCCGCTTGGCTCGATGTCAATTCATGCTTGGACTTGTCCTTTACGAGCAATTTCCCCCCCTTCCCAAGTTGTTGTTCAAGGCAGCGCAGCCCAAAACTGCTGTGATGACGGGGATGACCCTGGTTTTCTCCAACCTGGTGTGAATGCTTCCAATCGCTGGCCTTAAGGGGCTTCTGTGTGTGTAACACGCTGTCGCAAGCATGCCTTTCACGTTTTATTGACAAGCAGGGGGCCATGGAGGAAAAATCCGTGCCTTGGCCAACGAAGACCTCACGTTTTTCCGGTGAATCGTACCTGCTTGGCAGTGCCTGGGCGTTGTGATGCGCAGCTGGCATGCCCTCCTTCAAAAACAACAGATCTTTGCCGTTTCAATCAGCGACACCTTCGACGTTTACCAAGGATACTCGCAGTTACTTGCAAGCTGTGTCAGCCATCAGTTTGTGACGTCACCTTTGACGTTTACCAAGGACTCTCGCAAGACACGTTTGATGCATAGCCAGACACGTTTGATGTATACTAAGGATGTTCGCAAGACACCCTTGATGTTTCCAAGGATGCTCACCTTTGACGCTTACCAAAGATACTGACGTTTCACCAAGGACAATGACACTCAGGAACGATTCGCCTCTTGCTACTACCTTGACCTCCTTTTCCTCTCTTCCCGTGTGTGTGTGTGTGTGTGCGGAGGATTTTCCTTAAGACAATGATTCGGGTCATGTAGGGGGTCTCAATGATTGATTTGGGCCTGGATGAGACTTTTTTTGACCAACCACTCTCTCTCAGAATTCACCAACCCCTCACGTAATTTCATAGCCAGGACACCAGGGCAACCCAAGTGTCCTTCTGCTTGTTGTTTATGCATCCTTACATGATCTCCCACCCCCCTCAGTAGGTATTCCCCGCCGGGCACGCTACGCAAGAAACCACCAGTTCTGACGCGTTTTGCCCTTTGTGACCCTGTTCAGGGACTCAGCCACCATCCAATTGATCTGTTCAAGTGTGTTTTTCGCATCCGTCTGACATTTTTCCCCGTATCTGGTAGTTTGGAGGCATAAAGTAATCAGGTGATCACAGAGGCGGTAGTTTGTTCCCGTTATTTGAGGCGGTCCCAGTGGAAGAGAAAAGAGATGAAGAATGCCATCATACTTCTTTCTTATCATTTCCTTATCCAATACCAACCCTTTTAATTTCTGGAACTATTTCTACATGACCTCAAATAACTTCAATAAAAGCAAATCATTAAACAATCTTGACATTAAATCCTGAAAATAGCTGTCCTCTGTTAATCCTAGCTGTGCTACATCAAGGATTTTACAGATAACCGTCTATAACCAAGAATCACCGGAAAGACAGGCAATTGCAAACACTTTAGAATCATCTATCACTTCATCTCTCACTCCTTCCCACGCCGCAGCGGCTGGAAGGGTCATTCTATCTCTCATGGACACCATCCCGAACGAAGAGAGGAAGAGAGTGGACATGACACAAGACAGCCAAAGGGATGAATCCTAGAGCACAGAAAGGAATGGGAGATGGGATTCCTTCGTCATCTCCAGAACCATTCCATCTTTCCCGTCTTTTCGCTTCTCTCCAAGCCGTAATCCCAGAGCATGCAACCAAGAGAAGCGAATGGGGAAAAGGTAAGAAGAATAGCAATACATATTAAATTGCAATGATAAAGAGAGAGTGTACATGAGGATGAAAGTAAAAAAATCTTAGTACCAACAATCTTTTCTCCGTTGAAGATTATTCCAGAGAAGATAGCAATTGTAGCTCCTAAAGAAAGAACAAAATGAACATGTGCTACAAAATAATATGTATCATGTAATCCTAGATCCACTGCAGCATTTCCTAGAATTATTCCTGTTGACCCACCTATAGTAAACATTAATAAAAAGAGAAGAAAGAAGAAGACAGAAGTAATTCTAAGGTGTAATAAAGATGGATTGGAGAGATATGTAAAAAGCCAAATAAAGATTTTTGTACCAGTTGGTAAAGATATTAAGATTATAACTCCTGTAAAATAAGCTCTTGTATCACTTTCTAAACCTACAGTATGCATATGATGTCCCCAAACAAGACTTCCAAGAAGAGAAATAGATGACATGGCAAAGATCATTGATTGCTTAGCAAAGATTCTTGACTGTAAAATCCCAGAAATTATTATGGACATGATCCCAAATGCAGGAATTATTAAGATGTAAACTTCTGGATGTCCAAAAAACCAAAATAAATGTTGATAGAATATAGGATCTCCTCCAAATATTGATCAAAGAAAAGTGTATTAGAATGAAGATCACCCAACATTAAAAGAAGTGTACCAGATAAGATAGGTAATGTTAATAAAAACATGAAAGCTGTAATCAAGAAAGAGAAAGGAAATAATGGGATAGTGTTAAAAATATAAGATAATAAGATCTCAGATTCAGAATTGTTGTCCAAAAGTTAAGAGATGTAATACATGAAGATATACCAGAGATTATTAATCCTAATATAAGATTTCCTGTACTTGAAGGTGATAAAGTCATAAAATAAGTGGATAATGGTGGATATAATGTCCATCCTGTACCACCTCCAAATTCTGAGATTAAAGAAAGGATTAGGAAAAGATATGAAAGTAAAAGAATTATGATAGAACAATTATTGACTCTAGGATATACCACTTCTGGAGATCCTTGAAAGATAGGTACAAAATAATTTCCAAATCCTCCAAACAAGCCAGGCATTACTAAAAAGAGGATCATAAGAAAGCCATGCAATGTAATGCTTAGAAGTTCTGGCTTTCTGGAGATATAATCCTATTTCCTGATGAATAAAATTCTATTCTTATAAGGACTGATATTAATGTACCGGAGATTCCAAAAATGAATCCAGATAATAAATAATAGATTCCTAAGCCTTTGTGATTACAATTTTTAACTAGTGAATGAAATAATATAGTAAAATAATATGACCTGGAAAGATAAAGTGGTTGATGATAAATCTTTTATAGCTGTTATCTGTCTTTTTGCTTACAATAATATCTTTCTTTGTTGGGTTTCTTATCACTGTCGAGCACGCTCTGCTACTTGCAAATTCTGATGGTTCTTGGGGGATCCCACGACAAACAGCAATTCAAAAACAACTCAGGGGCAATTGACTCGCTTAGTCCGGTGGTATGTCGCTGTCAACACCAAAGCGCAAAGCCACGTCTTCAGCGCCAGCCATGTGCTCACCCCCGGAAGGCAAAACCCTACCAGCCCCCGAACTTCCTGAATAGGCACCCACAAGCTCAAAAAGGATGTGGGTGTGTTTTTGGAGGGTATGAGCTTGGGTTTTAGAGGGACACCAAACGGAAACACAGTCCATCTTCTTGGCATCACCTTTTGAGACACTTGAAGATTTCTGGGCAGCTCCGGCCAGGAGGCTGGATCTCTGTGCACCTGCGTCGGGCGCGCCCAACGCAAAGCCTTCTTGGCTTGAGGAAAGCCTTTGATGCGAGAGAAAGTCGGACTCTAACCCAGTCCGTGATGTGGCCAAGTGATTTGGATCTTTGGATTTGCAGATGACAGTTTAGATTCCACTTGAAGCGCAAGGGGGAAAAAAACAAAAAAACAAATCACCTGCACATCGAAGCATTCGAAGGAACATGTCTTCGCGCTTGCCGCGTGTGACATGTAAAGACCCGTAATTTTTAAGTTGCTCGGTTGCACCTTCGTACATGGCCTGAGCAATCTCAGACAGGGAGGCTTCGCACTGTGCTCTTCACTTCGAACACTTCTAGTCGTGTGTGCTGGATATGTACAGTCAATGATCCCACCAACATGGAAGTGCACATGAACCTTGGCAACAGGAAGGTGCCTTCCAAAAACAGTTCGAACCTGCATTTCCCTGGAAGGCTTCCGCTGGAGGCTTGTCGATTTCCTCCAGGGACCGCAGTGAAACCAACTCGATGGCCGTGGTAAATGGCACCAATCTAAACCAGCGGAACCCATTACCCCCCCCCCCAACAACTCACATGGAATCCGACCTTCGGGAATGAAAGGTCCCTTGAAAAGGAAAAAGCGGTCCAAACCAGGACCTCCCCAAAAGAAACTTCAGGTTCCATGTGAAAAAAGGCTGGGGGGGTATCCAAACTGAGCCGAAAACTTGCTGCTGATGCCAAGCCCGCCACCAGCCTGTAGAGGCTCCATGCCCTGCAGGGTGAAGAGGCGGCCCTGATCTTCCAGGCACCTGAGAGTTGCAGCAAGCGCCTTCACAGGAGTGCTGCACCCCCTGCTTTAACATGGAACCTGAGGTTGCGGGGTCCTGGGGTCCTGGGAGACAGACCATTTTCCATTTTTTCTTTGGAGCCTCTGGTGGGTTCCACGTTAGTCAGGGTATTGAAAAGAACGCCCTCTGACTGTTGCCAAGGAACTGCAGGCCTTGCTGGGAAACTTCGTAAGTCCCCCCGACCAAATGGACTATTTGGGACTCTTTGAATCTCATATGAACGATGGACGCAGAAAGCCGAGCCATGGATTCATTCTTCCCCTCCCAAAAAAAACACATTGAAGCGGATCGGAGGGCTTTGGAAGACCCTTCCTTTTCAGTAGTTAAAGACCACACACAACAAACCACACCACTAGTTCACCAGAGATGCAAGACACTTTTTGTGTGTTGAATAGAACAAAGAGGATACTGAGCAAAGAACATTCGAACGCATTCGGGCCGTTACGTAAGAGTGCGTGTACATTAATTAAGTATTTGTAGAGCGCCGATCACATGCATACACCTCCACAGTAGTCAGAACTGTCTGAACGAAGAACTGATATGATATCAAAGAGGTACAGTTGCAGCATGACTCTTATATCGGCCTGAAATGTCCACTGCGATCGCACATGTCACATGAATGTTAATATGATCCCTAATGACGCATATAGTACACATGCACGAACTATGCGAAGGTCGCCGAGGTCATCAAACTGCACGGCCCCACAAACGGCGAAGACAACAACACAACTCTTGCGGCCAACCCGTGTGATCTGCCCCAAGCCTCCTCAAAATGGGCGTGCCGCAAGTGCTAAGGGCCGGTGCTTTGGGGCTTTGGAGAAGCTCCAACTTGCGGAAAAAAAAAACTATGAGTGCCAAAAAGTCACCCAGTGAAAACTCCTTCGGGACAGCACTATCTGCCCAACTGATACAGCTTACCGAAGCCGCACATGTTCTTACCTTTGCGTGGTTTTTTGGTAGCCCTCTGGCACGAAAACGGGGACCTCCTCCGGTGTCTTTTGCAGCCTTTCGGCTGATCGATTTCGCAAGGCCCGGTCAGCCAGAAAGAACCCAGCCAAGACGCCATCCAATCTCGCCGAAGTGAGGGGAGACAAAGGTGCCGTTCTTCTGGAAGTGCCTAAGAGACGCCCCCGATATGTACGCCAGAAGGCCCCTGGAATGGCAGTGCCATCTGCAAGCCAGCTTGGAAACGGAGACGTGTTCATCTTGCAAGCGAGGGGCAGGCTTTGAGTTTGTCGTCATGTCACTTCGCATGGCCAACTGCCCCCCGCCCCGCCCCCACAGAAAAGACATGCATCTCAGACTCAGGCTTTGGGCTGGGGGAGTCTTGGGTCCTGTCTTTACTTGACCAGCGAATCGGAGCGGAAGTTCGGTTCATGTGTTTTGGGGCTCCTTTCGTTTGCACAGCCAGCACTTGCGGTTGCGTAAAGACGATGTTGCAGCGGATGCTGACGGTGATGCTGAGGATGCGTGAACGAACACTGGCCAACCAAGAACCCGGGCAACCAGCAACCCAACAAATGCAGAGCCATCGTCCACAAGCAGGACACCCATCATCACTGGCATCAACCAGCATCATTCGTCATTAGCATTCTCAACATCCCCAGCATCATCCGCAAGCAAGATCCCCTGGCACAATTCCAACTCAAAATTGGACCCAAGTACAGAACGCACCTTAATCACGGTGAGCTTGATATACCCCCCAAATCGCTGAGCTCGATAGATGTCCAGCACGAGGCATAGAGACACAGATTCTGGGCATAGAGACACAGATTGCACCACGCAAACTAGACCGAACATCCTCGCGTAATGGCTCAAGCTAGCTTGGCTATCCGCAAATCCGCTGTCACAAACACTTGTGCAATCCCCAGAGCACCGCTTTGCCAATTCTCATCTTAGCGCTTGCCAACCGCCTCGAAGCCTCCTGTCAATCCAAGCGCTGCCACATGCCATAGGGCCCGCATAGAGTCGGAGTTGCGGGAAGCAGTCCCTCTTCATTTTGGGAAACCCAATGCAAGCTTTCGAGGGAAAAGCTGTACACTTTCCTCAGATTCAGATCGCTTGAGCATAATGTCGCAACACTGGATACGGGCTATTGTCGATTGGAACAAGTGGGGCCTTCGTTTTTTGAGGAGGACCCTAAACCCTAGTTCTTTACATGGTCTGTACTGCAAGCATTTACAAGTGGAGTATAAAAGGGAGATGCAAGAAAAGAGCCCCCTCAGTTCGTGCCTGAAGTCAATCGAAGCTGGCTTGTTCGGCCAAACCAACTAAAGATGCAGGCATCGTCTTACATTGATGCCGCAATGGCTTCCTTTGGGATTCCCATGAAGTCAACAGCATCCGGGCCTCCAAACGAATCACACCCATCCTTGGCATTTCCCCCGATAGCTTCCCCGGCCTGAAGCCCATGCTGGAAGAACGGCCGTGGTACACCAGGTGCCACCGGAAGTGGGAGACCTCGAGCACGATGAGATCCCCATGCACCGCAAGGGACTTGTTCGGAGCGTTGATTGACACAGCACAAAACTTGGGTCGCACGAAAGCTAGCAAGCAGAAGGGGTGAGGCAACTTGGGGCCGAAGTGAGTCTAGAGCCTGAAGGAGCGTTTGGGACAGGGTACGAACTAGCTACATGAATTGTTTGGCATCAATGTATATATACATATAGGTATGTATATATATATATGTATGTATGTATGTATGTATGTATGTATGTATGTATGTATGTATGTATGTATGTATGTATGTATGTATGTATGTATGTATGTATGTATGTATGATATGTAGGTAGCTAGCTAGCTAGGTAGGTGGGTAGGTAGGTAGGTATGTATGATGTATGCAAGACAGAATCAAGACATGGGTGTTCATGTCAGCATGAAACCTACCAGTGAATAGGCATGGCTACGTCAAAATCATGATACGCCCCTGGCAGCTCTGCTAACGCTCCCGCCTCTTCTGTCGTGATGTTGCTCCTCTTGCTGTCCAGTTCTGCACAGGCATAGCTTCGTTTCCTGAGTGGCAATTCAGGAAGCCGCAACGACAAAAGCGAGTGAGTATCAAGAAATGACAGCTCAACAACGAAAGGCATTTTGCTTGCTTGGGCTGCTCAAAACGGAGGCTTGAGAAGGACACCACTGCAACGGGGGCTCCTTGCGAAAATTATGGGAAGGATCGAGGATTTGCCTTGAACAGCGCAGATGTGCTGTGGGCTTAAGGGTGCCTCTTGCAAAGCGTGAACCCGTCAAGGTACTTTGGCCTTGCACTTGCCTCTTGGCAACACAGGGCATAGCTGGGCCACAGACAAACAAACAAACAAACAAACAAACGAACGAACAAACGAACGAACGAACAAAAAACGAACGAACCAACCAACCAACAAACAAACAAACAAACAACGAACAAACAAACAAACAAACAAACGAAGAAACAAACGAACAAACAAACGAACAAACAAACGAACGAACAAACAAACAAACAAACAATCGAAGAAACAAACGAACGAACGAACGAACAAACGAACAAACAAACAAACAAACAAACAAACAAACAAACAAACAAACAAAGACACAAACAAACAACGCCGCAAATCAGTGCTTGGGCTGCAAGGCCAGCACAAGCAGGAATTCGGAGCGAGCGAATGGATGCATGTGGGGGTTGATCAAACGGTCCTTCACATAGGATGACCATTGGGGAAAGGCACAACAAAGATGATAATTCCCGCTAAATGGAAAAACTTACCCATGCAAAAACTTGGGGGCCGAACGGAATATTGATCAACTCTGATGTATGGATTCAAGCGAATGGTATGTGTATCTGTGACATTCATTGATTTCATGGTCGATTTGTGGAGCGGTGCATACCAGCAATGCTAGGTGTGTGGTTGGCCAGTGCCTCCCAAACCTCGCAACAAACTCACCGGCAACAAGTTGTAGCCGTGAGTGCCTTTCCCGAGGCCTGGCAACAGGCACTTGCCTTGGACCAACTTGGGTGCAGCTTCTGTTTGACTCATGGATTCTCTTCCATGTCCGGGTCCTGAAAGTGGATCAGGATGGTGGTTTTCGGCAATCTATGGCAATCTTGCTGTTCCTATCAACTTCTTTCCCCCTTTCGAACCTCGTAAGGTCGTGCGTGAGAGGCCAAAGGCCCTTAAACCTGCTGGCTCGATGGTGCCGCTGAGTGGCCACTTGCCGGGAATCGACAACGTACACTCCGCACCTAGCGGAAGTTGAGAAGCATATGTCGAGCGAAGATCAACGCATGTGAACCCGTGTTCGTGGAACAGTTAGGGTGTTTCTCAACATAGAGGTCCCTTTTCTGCAATGGTCGGTGTCCTTTTGGAAACCCGACCAACTAAAAGGGGGTCCACTGCAGGGCAGGTGTGCCGCATACAAAGCACCAACTGAACTCTGAATGCCAAGTTGGTGGCATGACGCGGGTACTGCCGCCTGAGAAAACAAGCGCCACTTTCTGGCGGGGAAACATACTCCGAGTCATTGGGAGCGCTAGTCTCAGCCTCATGCCCACTCCTGGAGGCCACAAACAAGGCGCTCAGCGAACAGCATGTTTATCAAGAACACAAACTGCCCTGGAAACATCATGCGCATGCTTTCGGATATGTAATATTTGGCCAAACAATATTAGCATGGTCTCGGGTTGCGAGCAGCCCGAACTTGAGATCCGCGCGTAGCATGAGAGCCAGCTTCTTGATATGTGCCCTGAACGGTGAAGCTGAGGCTTTATATTAATTGAGACCTTAGACACATGATTGCTCAAGTTGGGCAAGTTGATAACGAACTCAGAATGTCAGCACAAAAGACTTTGGTACGCTTAGGTGCAACCATTCAAGTGACACATGTTTGTTTCCTTGAGCAAGGTATCTTGACCAGGGAACCCTGAAACGAAGGGTTCCAAAGGCAACGGATGAAATGTCGCCAAAAACCGCCCAACTGGCGATGGCCCCACCTCGTAGCCGGGTGGACGCCTCTAAGGCTCCTATCAGCTCCGACTTCTCCTGAAAGCGGCGGTTGCGGCAAGCCGGCACCACAGGTACTGTGGATGAACAAAACCGGTTTCGCACCTAAGAACCCCCTGGAATGATTCAATCCCCCTGTAGATACAAAAGAATCAAATGCTGAATACACCAGGAATGATCCGATTTGTAAATACCAACGAACGTTATGGTTTCAGCCATTGTTTCACAGTGGTGCGAAATAGATTTTGTCCATCCACAGTATGACATCTTTGCCGACCCTGACATGATGGGCATTTATGTTCAACCACCTTTAAAACCTCGCTCATGAAATGGCCCGTGGAATTCTCCCAGAGACCGAACGATCCTGGATTCTTGGACAGCTCGTCAACATCTTCAATTCTTATCCAGGAAACGCTGGGAAAGGTATTAATGCTGTCCATTCTGCCTCATGCAATCGTGGGCAATAGATGGATGAAGGCCAAACATCCGGCAGGCCTAAGACTAGATTCACCAACCATGGTTGAAAAGCAAAGGTTTTGGCAATCCAACTGGAAATCGTGGCATGATGCAAGCCAGGGTCACAGTTGAATGTGCAATGGTCAAGAGTCAAGCAGGGATTTGGGGATAGGGATGCAGTTCGCTCAAGCAAAAATATCCACTTTCCCTTTGTCCGAAATCTCTATTCCCAAGCTGATTACCACAAGCTGTCGTAAGTGGTCCAGGTGTTCTGGCTGTCTGATGAATTGCCAGAGCCTTCCAAGAGTTGCTTTCCGCCTCGTTTTTTGGGACGACTTGTCTTGCCTCCCAACGTTCCCGAAGAGCCAAACGTAAAACAGTCCAAGCATGCCAAAACACCCAGTCTCCCCCCCAACCCCCCCACACCCCCAAAGCAACACACACACACACACACACCCAAAAAACAAGCAACAACAAAAAAACGCAAACACAACACACACACACACACACACATTACAGAAAAATCCCTCCCTGTCTGGAATCCCTCTCCCCCGTTTCGCTGATTTTGGTCTCCGTCGCGCCGGCGATGTCCACGTCACGGCGCTTCAGCAGGGAGCGCAGCTCTGGGACACTGAGGCGTAGGCCACGGAAGTCACCTGAGATACTCAGCTGTAACATGGAGCCGGTAAATGGGGGGGCTCCCCCACGTGCGGTTTGGACCGAATCGGTGGTTTGGTGGTTGAGAGGGGGCTTTTGACATGTACCGACAGGAACCAGGGACCCGTTCAACTCCAAAAACCGCCAATCCAAACCACCGATTACAGGGAGGCCGATATGCTTGCGATCGGTTCGAATTGGAATGACCCCGAGAAAAAAATCCAACTGGTAGTTTCCTTGAATGACATCCTCAAACGGTTCACTCTCAACACCCGGAAGGTCATTCCCTACTGAGCACCAGCGAAACAAATCGTGGTTCTTTGAGTTCCATGTCAGTCTGCAGAGTAAACCGTACTCAATGGGAGATAAAACCAAGCCTTCGTTGCGTAGGCGTAAGGCCCAAAAACATAGAATGGGACACATCATGCTTAAATACGTAGAATGGGCAATCTGTAGGGGTCAAGTGACACGAATGAGCATTCGGCGACCCCAGGAGATATACTGATTGAGTTGTGGGGAGCTTTGAAACCAAACTTCGTCATAAAGACAGTGAACATCCCAGTAGCTGTTTAGCCCCCTGACATTACCCTCCCGCATTTGCCATGGAATAGGTAATTTGCAAAGTAGCTCCTTTTTGGCTGTCGGAAGCAAAAGGAATCCAATTCCCTAATTTTGCATCAAACACTCGGATGTGGCATGGGACATCTTCTAAAATGGATCCCAGAAGGTGTTGCATGGGAAACCCATTTACAATTTCCGATCTCTTCTGCGCATCAATACATGCAGCAGGGTACTCGTTTTGCAGGGATTGGGGAATGTGCGTGAAGGAAAGCCTAGGGTATGGGTGCTGAGGCAGCTGGGGATTCTAGCTGTTTAATCTCCGCCATCTATCTTAACAAATGCGCTCTAGTAAAAAAAAAGACGACATTTTCCCAGATCCCAAATCTTCCAAAATTGGACATAACCGATACTAAACCAATTCTAAACGAGCACATTTCCCGCCGATCCCAACTCCAGTCTTGTTACAGGACCAATACTAAACCAATCCTAGATCAATACTAAACCGGTACTAAACCAATGTTTGACCAATTCGAAACCAGGCAAATCCAGCTCGTGATTTAGATTTCTGCTGTTGGATCTCCTTGCCAGGAAATTGCCATACTGAACGATGTTCGGGGCCGGAAAGGGGGACCCTATTTGCACGAGGACCGTCCCTGCGGCCCCCCTATTAATAAATATACATCGGGCCCCAGACAAAATTATTCATTGATCGGGGTCTTATTTATTGCGGGGGAAGGAATTTTGAAGGTAGTATCTGTTTGGGTTTGAGAAACAGAGATGGACACTACAAGATGTCCCTGTGATGTGGGCCCAAACTTTCCAACTGCCTCGCACGCTCCTAGGTCTTGGGCGCGAGAAGCCAACGGGAATCCAAAGGGAATCCAACCATGGAGGATGTGCATGTTTCAAGGACGCTCCCCGATTTTTTTGAATAGTGTGCCAAGGGAAACCAAACGAAAGTTAAAGCCGAGGGAAGCTCCGACCAATTTGGAGTTCAACTCGTTCAGCAACGCGGGCGGAGAGTTGCTGGCTGGAGAGATTATCCCTTACAGATTAACATGGAAGCCCCAAAACCTCCTTTTCTGCTCCATGCTAATTCTGGGCTGTGCTCAGATCCCCTGCTGAAAGTTTAACTTTTAGTAGAATGGACACCTTCACTAAACGTTTCCAGTGGAAAGTGGAATGGAAGACCTGTTTTTCCTAGTGGAATGACACTTTCAGGGGATGGCCGGGAGCCACCGGAGAAAAGTTGAGCATGTCTCGAGCTCCCCGAAGGCATTGACTCCGGGTGACCATTGCGGAAGAGGTCCAGCGGCATCCACTGCTTGCCTGCAGAGGTCCCCAAACCTCCCGACCCACCCGTCGAACGAAGGGGTACTGAAAACACGCGGGGAAAAACATATATATATATATATGCTGCCCCCCCAAATGTCTGGTTTCAATGGTATGTGCGGTGTTTTCTGCCTCTTTTTGTGCTTTGGAGAAAGCAGCAGAACAAGGGTGCCTTATTAAAATCTATTTCAATTTTCATCTAGAAACTGGAACACATGCTGGGACAGGAAGTCCTCTTTAAACTCTAATTTGAAGTGATAGTCACCATTAAACATGTTCTTCCAGACGGAAATCCTATTTACATCATCTTTGAAACTAGAAAGTGTATTAGGATGTGTCACTGTTAATTTCCATTTGGATTGCAATTAGAACATTGAAAACTCAGTCCTGGAAAAAGAGACCCCTTCTAATTTGAAATAGGAATTCCAACTACACATATTATTTAACCAAAATCATATTTACATGTGTTAAAATAGAAACTCTGCTAGAACTATGTCCTTATGAAACTTTATTCAAATTATATTCAAACAATAAACATAGAAAACGGTTGAATAGCTAATGTCAAACAAGACACTTAATTACACAGATTATTTGAAGATGAACACCTGTTTAGACTCCATTTAAACTAGAAATCCTACTAGGAGTATGTCCCTATTGAATTCCACTTCAATTCCAATAGAACAATGAAAAAACACATCCTAGCAAAGAGAGAGAACCCCTTTAGACTCTAAATTGAAATAATTATCCTAATTAAATACCTTCTTTTAAACCACACACCATCTAAACGATCGTTAAAACTAGACACTCTTCTAGAATTGTTTCATTACATTCCATTTAATACTTGATCAACAAACAAAATGGAAACCGGTTCTACTTCTAATGTCAAATACGTTAGACGGTGAACTACTAACATTATTTGAAAAGGACATCCTATTTAGACTATCTTTAAACTCAAAATGAAATAGGATCCGTATTGCTTCAAAAGAACAATCTAGGTTGAAATAAACAGTCCAATGGAAAAGAGTCCTTGAAAAGATGATCCGTTTAAAATTACCTTCCCAGGATTCACACGTATTGCGGCGCGTTCTGCCCTTCTTGGGCTTTGGGGAAAGCAGCCAAAAAAAGGGCTCATTTCCAAAGACAATCAAGGGTCAGGCCCCCAAAACTTTTGAACGTTCAAACCGTTTCAACCCTTTCTCACAGGCACGCCCCCCCCCCCAATTCTACCTGAGAGAGGGTTCAAAAGGTTCAAATGGTTTAAACGCCTTTGGGCCCTGACCTTTCCTGTGAGGGTGCAATCGGTTTCAATGGCTGCGTTGGAGGGTCGCTTTTGCTTTTGCAGAGTCTGATGTAGTGGGCAGGACAAATAAAGACAGAAAAAGGTCGACATGATTTATTTTGGGGGCTACCACATATACATATAAAACGACGTGACAAGACATGACTCCAATGACTTGGCCAAGACATGGGTGAATCATGTGTCAATCGCTGAACGCCTTGACCTCTCATTTCTTGCTTTCTCAGGCAGGGCGAGTCTGCAAGGAGTCCCTGTTGACAAAGTCTAACTTAGGGATGTTGGATCGGATTCAGTTCTGCTGCGATGCGTGGTTGCGTCCTTTACAAAAAAACGCCGGCAAATCGGGTCAGTCTCTTGTAAGTCCGGATCCCCCACTGCAGGACCTACATCATACTGGCCCCGTTTTATCCCCAGCTCGCCTACAAAAAAAAACACGCAGAAAGGGCTGCGTCCGGAGCCTCAAGGCAGGCAACTTTTCGCAAGCACCTTCTCTTTAGCGACTGCGCACGTCAGCGAATCTGCCAAAGATCTGAATCTGCTGAAGACCAGCGGAGTTTCAACCCTATTTTGGGTGAGCAGCCGGTGATACAAGCGCTTGACCAACCAACATGCAAATTAAAACAGTTAAGGAACACCATCATCAAGGCTGCCAGCTGTAAGCCCTTCAATCCAGCGAAGCGGCAGCATGGCCAGCATGGCATGCGCGCGGGAGAGGTCAGCAGAAACACACACGCATCAAGCAAAGGGAGTCAACAGGTTGGGGGATGTTGATGAATTCTGGCGTACAAGTAGCCCAATGCGTTTGTTGTTGTGGTTTAGAAGTGAGGTCCTCTATCTTTACCATTCAGCGGGCAACAAATGCGGCCTTGCTCGAAAAAGATGTCCCCACAACAGCTGGGCAGGTATACGCGCTGAGAGACATAGTCGAACAGGTCACCGCTCTGCCGTACCCAGGGAGTCAAAACAAGCCCTTGTTAAAAAAAAGGGCTTCTCACCGCGGCGTCTCGAACAACCCACCAATGAGTTTTTCACTGACCTCAGACCCTTTTTCTGACAGGGTTAGTAGGCAACTGGGTCTATCCCAGGAATTGAACTTGGTCGCATTTTAATCCGCAAGCTTCGAGGCAGAATCCATGTTCACTTCCAGCGGCAAGGCCGTCAACAAAAAACGTCCTGCGATCCAAATAGGATGGCTCTGAGTCATGTGCTGCTGGGCAAATGGCACTTGTCAGCCCCTACCACAGCAAGCTGCTACACATATGCGCTGTTGCGGAGACAACTGCGGAGCATTTCCACGTGCTACATCGGACGCATCCTTCACTCAGGGTCTTGAGCAAGATCTGGTGGAATCTTTTGGGGTAAACAGGGCGATACCCGTCATTGACATCCTCCTTATCTTGGTTGACGTTGGAAGGGGAGCACAAATTTAAATTTTAGCAGTTAAGTGGGGACTTCCCACTAAACCACAATAAGCAAAAATGCAAAATGTTTCCCAACGACAACCATGTTATGGAAGTACTGAGTTACTGGCTCGTCCGGCTCATGAGGCATGATTCGACAGACTGTAAACGGCTCATATTCACAATTGAGCTTTATCTCAACCAAACAACACCACCGCACAGCCCTTCTGTGCATGCTGGAAGGGCCTTGCTGCAAGAACTGCTGATTGCACGGTTCTCGGAGCCTGCCCAGCGACGCTTGCAAAGTCGTCGCCAAAGCTCCTGACGTGACGCCAGATCTGTCAATGGCAAACAACAAGCAGGATTTTCGCTTGATACATGCAAACGATCTCTCATGTGCGTATTCAAGCACTTGCCGTTGCCTTGGCTTCCCCTGATTTGTGCTAAAACACACACACAACCACACACCTCTGCAAGCCTTCCCAAATAGAGCAGCTATTCTCCCACCACCCCCCCCTCCTCCCCATCCCCGCCCCCTTCCTCCCCCACCCCCCTCCCCTTCCTCCCCGCCCCCCCCCCCTCCCCCTCCCCGCCCACCTCTCCCCCTCCTGTCCCCCTCCCCCTCCCCCCCCTCCCCATCTTCGGCTCCCAACAATCGCCCAAGAGCCGGGGACAACTCTCTCCGCGCGCCTCGTCCGCGGCGAGAGCGCGGAACTTGGAGCACAGCGCCCCCGCGCGGCAGAGCTCCGGCACCTCCAGGAAGGTGAAGACCTCCACGAGCCGAGGCCGCGGCTCACGAAACAACCCCGGAATGTGCCTTTCGGCGGAAAGGGGCTTGACGCACATGTGGCTGTGGTGGTCAAAACCCCCAAATTTTTTTGGTGAACATCAAAATCCGTGGTACATGGGTGTTCATCCGCCCCAAAATGGAGGCATAGAGTATGACCCATGGCCATGTCTTTTGCAGAAGTCGGAGTTCCAGAGTCGGATCCATGGGCCGCATTTGCACCAACTCCCTTGCTCGTGAAAGGCAAGCAATGGCATGGATGAGAACGGAATACCTTGTGACATGCGGGGAAGGCACCCCATTGTCCCTTGTGCTTCGTACGCGCTTGGCCTATGGCCCGCCTGCAGCCATGTCTCCTCCAGCAGCGGCCTGTCCATGATTCATCTGGGCTCAAGAACCTACGTGACTTCAGAAAGAACCTGTTGCTCTCATTGCCGCCCAGGCTAGGGTTCCCCATCTCAGGGCTCTTGACTTTCTTCACACCCGGATTACAACTTCACGTCAAAGGCATTCCAATCTGTAGCGCAGCCTGCGTTGTTGACCGCAAGTAGGGGTTGTAGGGGCTCTGGGTGGTTGCTTTAAGATCGGACATCTGATTGACAATTGCAGCAAGCCGAAACAGCTCAGCTTCAAGAGGTCATCAACAACACAAGTTTAGTTTCATGACTCTGCGTCTCCCACAAATTCACATCCTTGCTACCCCCGGCTGGCACAGCGCCTCTCGTCGGAAGCTTCCGGCATGGCTTCCAACAGCCTGAAAGACTTGTGCTCGGGGTCAGGGACTGGAACTTGGAATTGCCTGGGCTGCAACTAAATGAGGCTGAACTCAAACCTTCTTCCCAGAGATGGGTTCTTGCAGGGAGCCACTTGCAGGGACCAACTTGCCGGAGCAACTTGCGGGGAGCAACTTGCGCAGAGCAACTTGCACAGTGCAACTTGCGTAGAGCAACTTGCGCAGACCAACTTGCACCGACCAGTTTGCGCAGAGCACCTTGCCTGGTGCTGTCTCGCGCCAACTTGCACACACTGCAACTCGCGCAGAGCAACTTGCAGGGAGCCACTTGCAGGGACCAACTTGCCGGAGCAACTTGCGCGGAGCAACTTGCGCAGAGCAACTTGCACAGTGCAACTTGCGTAGAGCAACTTGCGCAGACCAACCTTGCACCGTGGTGCTGTCTCGCGCCAACTTGCACACACTGCAACTCGCACAGAGCAACTTGCAGGGAGCCACTTGCAGGGACCAACTTGCCGGAGCAACTTGCGCGGAGCAACTTGCGCAGAGCAACTTGCACAGTGCAACTTGCGTAGAGCAACTTGCGCAGACCAACTTGCACCGACCAGTTTGCGCAGAGCACCTTGCCTGGTGCTGTCTCGCGCTTGCTTCACGAATGCTTTGCGGAGGGAAAAAGAACGCATCATCCTGCAGCGCTGGGCCGACCTCGCTTGCGATGTTATGCTTTCGGGCCAACCATGGTCTAGTTTTTTCTCTCGAGGATTCTTGGCTTTTCTGGGTTTGCCCAGTTTTGTTGCTTTTGCATGACTTAATTCTTGCATATACCAACAAACGCTAAACACTGTGATTTTGAACTTTGTCAAAGGAAGTTTAACAAGAAACTTCCGTAGTACTGGAACTAAATGAGCTAGCTGCTTTGACATATAGCTATGACAGGTAGCTAGCATGACAAATAGATAGCTTTGACATATAGCTAGCTTGACAGATACATAGCTTTCCAATAGGCTTGCATGACAAATAGATAGCTTTGACATATAGCTAGCTTGACAGATAGATAGCTTTCCAATAGGCTTGCATGACAGATAGATAGCTTTGACATATAGCCAGCTTAACACGTAGATAGCTTTCTCAAGTATAGATTTCGTGGCAGGCGCAGCACTTTCGCAAGCACTCTCTGCGAGCTGGGGGATGGCAAGATGCAGAAAACGTTGGCGCTGTGCGTGAATTGGGCTTCCGGACTGTGCGCAAACCACCTCGGCTGCGACGCCTGTACGGCGGCGGTCTCGGAACGGTCTCGGAACGGTCTCGGAACGGTCTCGGAACGGGTTCGGAGACGGGCCCATTGGCACGGCCGCGCGAAGGTTTCGCAAGGTTTGAATTGCGTGGCAGGCGCAGCACTTTCGCAAGGTCAAGTATAGATTTCGTGGCAGGCGCAGCACTTTCGCAAGGTCAAGTATCGATTTCGTGGCAGGCGCAGCACTTTCGCAAGGTGCTGCGTCCACTCTCTGCGAGCTGGGGGATGGCAAGATGCAGAAAACGTTGGCGCTGTGCGTGAATTGGGCTTCCGGACTGTGCGCAAACCACCTCGGCTGCGACGCCTGTACGGCGGCGGTCTCGGAACGGTCTCGGAACGGTCTCGGAGACGGGCCCATTGGCACGGCCGCGCGAAGGTTTCGCAAGGTTTGAATTGCGTGGCAGGCGCAGCACTTTCGCAAGGTCAAGTATAGATTTCGTGGCAGGCGCAGCACTTTCGCAAGGTCAAGTATCGATTTCGTGGCAGGCGCAGCACTTTCGCAAGGTGCTGCGTCCACTCTCTGCGAGCTGGGGGATGGCAAGATGCAGAAAACGTTGGCGCTGTGCGTGAATTGGGCTTCCGGACAGTGCGCAAACCACCTCGGCTGCGACGCCTGTACGGAGGCGGTCTCGGAACGGTCTCGGAACGGTCTCGGAACGGGTTCGGAGACGGGCCCATTGGCACGGCCGCGCGAAGGTTTCGCAAGGTTTGAATTGCGTGGCAGGCGCAGCACTTTCGCAAGGTCAAGTATAGATTTCGTGGCAGGCGCAGCACTTTCGCAAGGTCAAGTATCGATTTCGTGGCAGGCGCAGCACTTTCGCAAGGTCAAGTGCCAAATTCGTGGCAGGCGCAGCACTTTCGCAAGGTCAAGTACAAAATTCGTGGCAGGCGCATCACTTTCGCAAGGTCAAGTACAGAATTTGTGGCAGGTGCAGCACTTTCGCAAGGTCACGTGGAAAATTCGTGGCACGCGCAGCACTTTCGCAAGGTCAAGTACAGATTTTGTGGCAGGCGCAGCACTTTCGCAAGGTCAAGCACAGATTTGGTGGCAGGCGCAGCATTTTTGCAAGGTCAACTTTCGCAGCCCGAAAGTAGTACGCGAAGTCAACTTTCGCAGCTGGGGCTTGAAAATCGCAACTTTTAAGTACGAAAGTAGTGCGCAAAGTCCACTTTCGCAGCCGGGGCTTGAAAATCGCAACTTTTAAGTACGAAAGTAGTACGCAAAGTCCACTTTCGCTGCTGGGGCTCGAAAATCGCGACTTTTTAGTACGAAAGTAGTACGCGAAGTCCACTTTCGTAGCTGGGGCTCGAAAATCGCAACTTTTAACTACGAAAGTAGTACGTGAAGTCCAGTTTCGTAGCTGGGGCTCGAAAATCGCAATTTTTAAGTACGAAAGTAGTACGCGAAGTCAACTTTCGGGGATTGAACATCGCAACTTTTTAGTGCAGAGAAAGATGGACTGATAGATAGATCAATAAACAGATATAGAGATAGCTAGAGAAATAGATAGAAAGAGATAGAGAAACAGAGATAGACAGAGATAGATAGATTTGTAGATAGATAGACAAATAACTATCTAGATAGATAAAGAGATAGAGAGATAAATAAATAGAGAGGTAGATAGATAGATAGGAGATAGAGAGGTAGATAGAGAGATTGATAGATAGGTAGTATCTATAGTTAATATTGGGTACTGTTCGCAAGGTCAAGTAAAAAATTCGTGGCAGGCGCATCACTTTCGCAAGGTCAAGTACAGAATTTGTGGCAGGAGCAGCACTTTCGCAAGGTCAAGTGCAAAATTCGTGGCACGCGCAGCACTTTCGCAAGGTCAAGTACAGATTTTGTGGCAGGCGCAGCGCTTTAGCAAGGTCAAGCACAGATTTGGTGGCAGGGCAGCTTTTTTTGCAAGGTCAAACTTCGCAGCCGGAGGCTCGAAAAAGAACAATCGCAATCAAACTTTAAGTACCGTATGTAGTAACGTGAAGTTACTTTCGCATGCTGGGGCTTGTAAAATCGAATCTTCCCCCCCTTTCCACTGTTTGCCGAAAGTAGTGCGCAACGTCCACTTTCGCAGCCGGGGCTTGAAAATCGCAACTTTTAAGTACGAAAGTAGTACGCAAAGTCCACTTTCGCAGCTGGGGCTCGAAAATCGCGACTTTTTAGTACGAAAGTAGTACGCGAAGTCCACTTTCGTAGCTGGGGCTCGAAAATCGCAACTTTTAAATACGAAAGTAGTACGTGAAGTCCAGTTTCGCAGCTGGGGCTCGAAAATCGCAACTTTTAAGTACGAAAGTAGTACGCGAAGTCAACTTTCGGGGATTGAACATCGCAACTTTTAAGTGCAGAGAAAGATGGGTAGATAGATAGATCAATAAACTGATATAGAGATAGCTAGAGAATAGATAGATATGAAGAGATAGAGAAACAGAGATAGACAGAGATAGATAGATTTGTAGATAGATAGACAAATAACTAGCTAGATAGATAAAGAGATAGAGAGATAAATAACTAGAGAGGTAGATAGATAGATAGGAGATAGAGAGGTAGATAGAGAGATTGATAGATAGGTAGATCTATAGATAATATAGGGTATAAATTAAGTCCAGCGGGCAAGACCGCGCGCAGCGAGCGTGCCGTTTCGGGCTGCACGCAAGAGCGCGAAGCTGAGCGGGCATGCTGTGTCGGGCCGCGAGCAGCGGGCGTGCCATTTCGGGCCGCGCGGTAGGATGAGATACACAAGAGTTCCCGGCCGGCGGGGGGGGGGGGCCTGCCGGAGAAAAAGTATCGTGCTGCGGGCGTGCCGTTTCGGGCCGCGCGCGAGAGCGCGGAGCCGAGCTAGCGAGCCGTTTCGGGCCGCGCGGTAGGAGGGCGCGCCATGTCCGGCCGCGCACGAGGATAAGAAAAAAAAGCTCCCGTGCGGCGGGGGTAAAATTGCGGGGCACACACTTAAGTAGGCGGAGCGCGTAGGGCCAGCCGGGGAAAAACTACCGCGCTGCGAGCGTGCCGTTTCGGGCCGCGGGCAGCGGGCGTGCCGTTTCGGACCGCGCGGTAGGATAAGACAAACAAACAAGTTCCCGATCGGCGGGGAAAAAACTGCGGGGCATAAAGTTCAGTGGGCAGAGTGCGTAGGGTCGGCCGGAGAAAAACTATCATGCTGCGGGCGTGCCGTCTTGGGCCGCGCGCTAGGATAAGCAAAGCAAAAGTTCCCGTCCGGCTGGGATAAAAAATGCTGGGCATAAACTCGGGTGCGCAGAGCGCCTGGGGCCTGCCGGGGAAAAGCTATCGCGCTGCGAGCGTGCCGTGTCGGGCCGCGCGCCAGAGCGCGAAGCCGAGCCAGCGTGCCGTTTCGGGCCGCGGGCAGCGGGCGTGCCGCTTCGGGCCGCGCGCTAGGATAAGCAAGACAAAATCTCCCGATGTGCGGGCAAAAAATATAATTGCGTGGTATAAAGCTAAGTGGGCAGAGTGCGTAGAGTCAGCCGGAGAAAGCTGTCGTGCCGCGGGCGTGCCGTCTTGGGCCGCGCGCTAGGATAAGAACAGCAAAAGCTCCCGTCCGGCGGGGACAAAGCTGAGGGGCGTAAGCTCAAGTAGGCGGAGGGCGTGGGGCCAGCCGGAGAAAAAAGATCACGCTGCGAGCGTGCTGTTTCGAGCCGCGCGCCAGAGCGCGAAGCCGACTTAGCGTGCCGCTTCGGGCCGCGGGCAGCGGGCGTGCCGCTTCGGGCCGCGCGCTAGGATGGGAAAAGCAAAAGTTCCCGATCGGCGGGGAAAAAAACTACGTGGTA